AAGGCGGTAATATTAAAGACTGTTCTTATTTATGCATGACCATTGACTATTAAGTGGCCAAAAATTGTGCCTACAGTAGTCAACTTATTCCACTATCCAGGTTGCATCACTGTTGATTGCAAAACACCCGGGTTTATTATACATGGATTTGCTAGCAAAATAGCAGCAATTGATGAACTTGGTGTTATACTAAAATTTACTAAATGTGTAAAGAAACCACGAAAAGTATATATCAATCAGAGTCATTATCTTGATCAATTTCCGATGGGATCTCCAAAGAAAGTAGCTACATGTGCAGACAACATGAAACTTCAGACTGCTGAAAATTTCACAATCCGTTATCAATCTTATGTCACAGAAGTGGTAAAGGACATATATGACAACTGAATGGTACCTTTTGTAAATTTTTTGGCCAGGTGTGGGTATTTATTTTTTAATTGATATTTGAGGTTGGGTAATCAATTTTTTTACTTTTTAATGGTTGGGTGAGCAAAATTTTTGCTATGAAAAACATTTCTCTTCGGTGCCACCCCCCGCCATAAATAATGACCGGTCCCTTACCTTATTTGAATATCTGAAATACTGACTTGATCAACAGCATACAAATCTTTAAAAATGGCCATAGTTGAACCATATACATGCTTCTTGCTTGCTCTTGTTCAGAAAACCGCACCGATTAAGTAAGACTCTCAATTTCCTGTATTACTAGCTCTTATAGCTCACTCTGGATTCGTTGAACTGCTCGCATTCTCCAAATATTATATGCTGAGTTTATAGCTGTCTTAATCATCTGCTTTCGGTGAGAAAAACAACAAAACGATAAGTCTTTCATCAATAATTCTCACTGGCTTGGATACGTGTTTCAACGGCTCGAAACAAATCGCGATCAAAACGTTGAAAAACTCGATACAAAGTCTCAAAACTTTTGTCCATAGCATATCAACAATCCTTGCCTCCGTTTACGTTGAATTCAGAACAAACACAAGAACATTTTGTTTGTAAATGCTATTTGTGTTGTGTGTATTAAATTTTGCACGCTCTTTCGACCTTTGGACCGGAAGTAAATCTTATCAATAAAAAACTGTTGAAAAAACTGACCAATCAGACAAAAGTTACCTTTGTTTGAGTTAATGGTTTGGATATATACTTGTAAATATTTTTTAATATTTTGGCACTGTAGCCATCGAATCCTGGACTTTTGTTTGGATTTAGATTTTTTATCTCGTTTTCAACTTCATGCTCTTCTATAGGTCTTAAAAATATGGAATTTAGGTTTTTGTTTGTAAGATATTGTTCATATGTGAAGTTTGATCTGGTTTTTATTTGTTTTGCAAGCTTGGGTCCTAGATTCACAAAATAATCATTGAATTTATTAGCAATTTAAATAGGGTTAGAAGTTTCTCTGTGTTAATGGATAGTTTATTAGCATTCAACCAGTCAGTAATTTTATTCATTTCGATTTGAATAACTTCGTTCAAGAATGTTTGTGTCATCCGCAAATAATACAATTGAAATAACTTCACTGCAAAATTGAATATCATTTATTATATAGCAGAAACAATAATGGACCCAACACTGATCCCTGTGGGACACCACTTCTAATAGTCATTACCTCCGATTGTACATCATTATATTTAACAATTTGTTTTCTATTGCACAGATAATTTTCAAACCATTTTTTGGCCACTCCCCTTATGCCATAATGCTACAGTTTTTTTATCAGAATCCTGTGATTAATTGTGTCAAATGCCTTTGACAAATCAAGGAAAATACCAACAGAGTATTTTCCTTCGTCAATTGCTTTGGTAATTTTGTCTACAAAGTCAATTATTGCATGTTCTGTGGATCTATTTTTTCTGAATCCATACTGATGTTTTGATAATATTTTGTTTTTATCAATGAATTTTGATAGTCTGTTGATCATAAGTCTTTCCAGTAATTTAGAAAAGCAAACAAGAACCGATATTGGTCGGTAATTTTCAAACTTCATTGCATCATTACCCTTAAAAATTGGTGTAATCATTGCAACTTTTGGAATAATTCCAGTCGAAAATGTTAGGTTAAAAATATGTGTTAATGGCTTAGAGATTTCTTTAACTGACAATTTGGCAATGTTTGTACGAATACCATCGTATCCACAACTTTTTTTTTTACTTCATACTTTTCAGTTCTATTTCAAGTTCATTTTCTGTAATAGGATTAAGAAAGAAACTGGATTGGTAATTACCTTTGAGATATTTCTCAAAACAATTATTGTTATTTCGTTTGATTTTATTTGCCAAATTAGGACCAATATTAATGAAATAGTCATTGAAATTGTCAGCTATGGTTTTGGGGTCATCTATTATATTTGATGAGCAGTTTTTCTACAAAGGTTTTTGATATTTTAGTATTTTTCTTTGGTTTATTAAGTAATTCATTTAGTGTTTTCCACATCATTCTAGAATTTTGCTTATATTTTATTAACTGGTTCTCATAGTATTTTTTCTTTGCCATTTTTATGATATGGTTTAGTTTATTTTTATAATTTTTGTATAATTTTTCATTTTTGCTATTTCGATTCATAAGGAAGGTTTTGTAAAGTTTATTTTTATTTCTAACTGACTTTAATATATACAGTTAGTCATCCAGGGACTTCTAACTGACCTTAATATACAGTTAGTCATCCAGGGACTTTTTGTTATGTTAATTTTTGTAGAGTATTGTTTCTTCTTCAGTGGGAAATTAGCTTCATATACATCTGTAAACATTTCCAAAAATTCATTATAGACCTTTTCTGCATCGTTTGTTTCATTTAAAATATTATCCCAGGGTTTTAATTGCATTTTTAAATGCTTCTGTGTTAGTTTCATTGAATATTCTTTGATATGTAACATTATTAACATTTTCCCTGGCGTTTTTTCCAAACATGTTTGTGTTGAACATATGCACTGTTGGCAAGTGATCTGAAATATCGCTGAAAATAATGCTGTTGATACTATCATCAAGTTGTTCCAGGTTATTGGTAAAAATGTTGTCGATTAGTGTGGCAGTATGATGAGTAATTCTTGTTGCTTTAGTAATTAGTGGGAAAAAGAATGATGTGAATAATTGTTCAGTAAAATAATTGGCATAATCACAAGATTCTGATTTAAATAAGTCGATATTAAAATCTCCCATCAAGTAACAGAATTTATTTTCCCTGTCAACAGTTTCTAAAATCTCATTGATTGATTGTTTAAATGAATCAAAATTACCGCTTGGTGGTCTATAAACTACCCCAATAATGATATTTTTACCATTCTTGTTCATTATTTCAATGAACTTGGTCTCAATTATATCTTCTATATTTTTATCTAATTCATTCCGACTTTTAAACTCTAGTTGTTTTGAAACATATAAACCTACACCGCCTCCTTTTTTTTTCTGTCTATTTGAACCAAAATATTTGTAATCATTCAATGTAAAACAATCCATATTGTTATCATTCAGCCAAGTCCCAGTTAGTCCAATTATCTGAAAAGGTATATCTAAAGTATCAATCAAATTTTTGAAAGAGTCAAATTTATTTGATATACTTCTTATGTTTAGATGTAATAACGAACATTTTTTTGCAATATTTTTAGTTTTATTTTGCATTCTAAAATCCTTTGGTAGGAAATAATCACAGCATATACTATTTGTGTTGAACCAGGTATCAGGTTCAATACTATTGCCAGATAACGCTATATTTTGATTTGTTTGAAAAGGATTAAATCTTAATTGGCTTAGTCTATCCAAATCACTTTGGGATAATCTGTTTGTAGAACCTAATGTTTCAAATTCACTGTTAGTAAGAGTACTCAGGTATGTTAATGCCTGGGTCTCAGTTTGTGTATTTAGCGAAAATAGACAAAAAATCATAAAAAAATAAGTATGGCCTTGATTATTACCATTCAAGTTTTATATGATTTATCAAAGGAGATTCTAAAAGTTGACATACTTTTCTTTGTCATGGCAACGATCACGTGATGTATATTTCGAAAAACAACACAAAAATTGATACGTTTTATTCAGAGGCTCTGCAGCAGTATAATTCGTTACTGAGAGGACGCAGAATTGCGATAATCATTCACACATGATATCACTGTTTATTGAATGAATCTGGAAAGTTTACATTTAGGCTTCGTTTCATTATTTTATGCGGCTATAATACGACGATTGGCATCAAACGAATGTTAAACACGTCATTAAATGTTATCTACAAATAAATGTACGATTTCCGAATTAAAGCAGGAAACTTTGTTCCCTTGTTAATGTTTTTAGCTAATAAAAATAGCAAAATTTCGTCAAATTACCCTGCTGCAAGTCGAACGCGTTTTTCGCGTGATGAACTTCACGCGCCATAATGAAACAGTCTGCCACTTATTGTAAGGGATATTATATTTCCAATAACAACATTCATTGCGCATTCAAGCCGATATCTTGAAGCATAGTTAATGCTTGAAGGGAAGCATGCCATGGTGGAAAAGACCGACTAAACTGTACGTGCAATAATGAATTTATAATCCACAAGCAATTTTTCATTGAAAATAATACTGAATAATCGCAAGATAGCGCACTATAAGAAGCTTTTATTTATCAGCAGATCAAAGGTCAGCTGTCGCAAATGAAACAATACTTATTGCTATACAAATAGCCAATTATTACATAAAAACTGAATAGTATACCGACTTCTTTGCATTGTATATTCCAAAATAATCCTGTCGCTCATATATACTATATTTTGATTTGAAGCAAACGCCCAAATTCACTAAAATACTCACACAAGGGGCGCATATTCTAACAGACGCATTACTGACAGATCGCGCGTGCAATACGCGCGCAAGATATTATCCAAGCGTGGGCAGACCCAGGCATTAACATACCTGAGTATGAAATGGGAAAGAATTATTGTCATCATGGATATCTATTGTGCTTTGTTGTGACATAATGTAAAGATAAAATACTTGCATTTTATAGCATTTTGAAATTTGATATTGTCACTTGTCTGGCGTTGTTGAACTTGGCTCCCTGAAGAGCTGCCCATCGATATACAGTTTGTCTCTCACTAATTTGGTTTTTCTGCCTGCATCCCTCGCTTTTTTCATTTCAGGGTATAGTCGTTTTCTTGTAGCTACAATTTCCTCTGGGAACTGCTCTGAAACAGGTATACCAGTTCCTTTCAGCTTCTTGGCATTTGACAGGATTCTTTGTTTGTCCGGAAAGTAATTAAACTTGGCAACAATGGCCTGTGGTTTTGATCCTTGCTTTTTTCTTCCCATTCTATGTGCTCGGTCTATTTTCATTTCTTTGGCGTCTTCGATGCCGAATTGACTCTCCAGAAGGCTGTGGACCAACTCAGTTGCATTTTCTTCTGTTTTTTCCGCGATGTTGTAAAATATAAGATTATCGCGCATTGACCTTGCCTGAAGGTCAATGACACGATGGTTTGAAGCAGAATTTATCTGTTCCAATTTTTCCAGTCTTTGTTGAACTTCCTCTTCTGTTTTCTTTCCCTTTTCATTCTCCTTTTTAAGGTCTTGTACCTCAGCGTGAACGAACTCAACTGAGTTCTTTACTTCATTCAAATCTTTCTCAATTGACTCCATACAGCTGTTTATTATGTCAAGCTTACTGAGCTTACTCATAATAATTTCAAACATTTCCTTGACATTTTCATCCTTTTCTTCCTCCTTAACCTCCTTTGTATCATTACGTTTTGGTATTTTAGATTGAACTGACTTAACGGGCGAATTTGTTAAAGAATTATTAATATTTTGCGCACCACGCTTAGGAGCATGTTTCCTGTCAACGTTGTTATACAATAACGTTGTTATACAAGACTATACTACACCCGTGTTTACATGGTATAAACATACAAAAATTATTGACTTGAAAGCACAAGATTTGACAGAACAAAACTGTTTAGATGCCGTGCTTGAATTGAAGAAATTCAAAAGACAAATTGGGGAAGTGGGAGATTGCACTGACAAGGAATTGAAAAACAAAACTGTAGATGTTGGTGCTAGTTTTGATTGCGCCTGGAGCAGTAGGGGCTGGTCCGCAAGAGATGGTGTCATTGCTGCAATTTCACTGGGCGAGTGCTGGATGTTGTTTACATGACATGTTCTTGTTCACAGTGCAAAAAGATGATTTGATTTCTCGAATGGTACATTGGGCATGAGGAAAACTGTTATCTCAATCACGAGGGTAGTGCACAGGTATTACAGTCATATACTCTAATCATCAAAGGAATAGTCAAGTTCATAGTAAACTTAAGCTTTAACCCATATGTGTAAACATTTGAAAGCTATTAAAAATGTGATGTACAAAATAATGTTAGATGTTTGTTAACATCTAGCCGCAATGCCGCATTCTATCCTAGAGTTTCTGTTTAGAAGATGTCAAAACGTGAAATTTGGGCATTGTTTACATCAGAGGGCCCTCACACAGCCCTTGCCATATAACAGACTTGACCATCTCTTTGGATATGATCACTATATGTACATGTGAAAATCCTCTATTAGGCGGTTTTAGGCCCTCTTGCAAATAACTCCTCTAATAACCTATTTCTAAATGAAAATTGGCTAAATCAATAATCCCTTAATTTAGCTTCCTATTTCTATTTATCACCCCACAAATTTGCCTGAATATTTGTTCATGCAGGATTAAATGTAACTCATTATTTTAATTATTATATTAAATTATAACCTTGTAATGACTAATATCACAGAATAAGGATTGAACAGGAGGGCAACTCACAGGTGTAACATGAGAACATTTTGTGTGCATGCGCTATATCCGTCATTACTCTAGCCAGGTAACTTGATGCTGGCATACTATAGAACAGTATGTAAGAAATGCTGCTCAGCGCATTAAATCACCTTATATACGAATATAATCATGTTTATGATTTTCACCCCCCAACGATGTGCAGCATTCTGACTTTATTCTAAAGACATTATATTCAATTACCATAGGCAATGGAATCTGCAGGTGTGTTGAAACTTTACTCTCGTTCCATTGAAAGACACAAAATTTGTTATATCCACTTCATTGGAGATGGTGATTCCAGTTCACTGTATATCCCAAAAGTTGACTGTATATCCCATGTCACTAAAAGAATGGGCACAAACCTAAGATCACTTGTCTGTGATTATAAAGATAAAGAAATATGAAATTATAACCTCTTCTTCACATTCAGTTTCTCAAGTTGAACATTTACTCTATTTGTAGCTAATACACCCTTTCATAAATTACATCATAAATACTTTTTGGCTTAGGAGCACCGCCCCCACACACGGAATCTTTAATAGCTTCACCCAAGCATTTGCTGTAAAGGTGTCTAATAAATTATTAAAGTAATATGTTTCACTATTCCACTAAAATGGGGCCGTATAATCCACTAATCTTTTTCAATAGGTCGAAAACTTTCTGATGAGAAAGGTTTAAGTGGTGCTGGAAGGCTTACCATTGCTCGTATTGATGCTATACAAAGCTTTTATGGTCTATGTATAAGAAAAAACAAGGGTAATGCCAAGAAAATGGCAAAAGCAACTCAAGCTATTTTGCACCATTACTCTAGTACTGAAACAAATCTCAAACACAAGTTCTGTCCAACTGGCTCGGATTCTTGGTGCAGTTTACCAAAGAGACTTAGCAAATGGCACTAATCTTCACAAACCCCATCAAGAACCCATCCCCCCAGCCATTGTAAGTGTAATAAAGCCATTATTTGATCAGCTTGGAGACGAGAAATTTTTAGCTGGCTGTGAGAAATGTGTCACACAAAATGCAAATGAATCACTCCATCACGTCATTTGTCCCAAGGAGCGGTATACCTCTCCTCAAGAATGCAGTTTGGCAGTGAGTCTAGGAGTTTTATTATTTTATAGTGGAATGGAGGTAATTTATCCAGAACTTCTATCTAATCTTGATGTCACAGTAACTCCCAGAATGATAAAAACATGGAGAAAAGTTGACAATAAAAGAGTTCGTGATGGGGAGTATAAAGAGAGAGAAGTCAAAGTGAGAAGAAAGTTCAAGAATCAAAAAGCCAAGAAAGCTGATGCATTTATTCACATAGAAGGGTTGCAATACAAATCGCAAGGCTTTTACGACACTGAAGAACCAAAAACTAAACAAAAAGCTGTTTGCAAGGGTAAGTCAAAGGGTAAGGCTATGGCTGCAGGGAAGGGAAAAGCATAGGTCTAGTATGGAAATACAGAGAAGTATTTTAGTATGTCTGAAGGAATCCTTCAAAAAGTATCACCAAGTTGAATTGCTTGACTGTGATTGTATTAAAAAAAATCAAATTCAAAAGCCTTTTGCTTGCTTGCTATAAAAATTAAAAATTTTTAGAACCACTGAGTATTTTAACAAAATACAAAGCAAGTGAAACTTCAAAAATCGATAACATTTTTATTTATCAAAATATTTTCTTTATGCAGGATTGAATGTAACTCATTATTTTAATTAATTATTATATTAAATTATAACCTTGTAATGTCACAGAATAAGGATTGAACAAATGGGCAACTCACATATGTAACACAAGCACTTTTTGTGTGCATGCACCATTGAACTGTAAATAAACTGGAAGGCTAACTGCTATGATGAAGGCCTATGATTTGATGAAGCCAAAATAGTTTTTCTGAGTTATGAGCAGAAATACTTGACCCCAAACGTCGGGCTATATATCAAATTGAAGCTATTGAAAATTGCTATTCGGTGTGGAAATTTCAAGACTTCAGCGAAAAGAAAAATATTTAAAAAATACAAAAACAACTGCAAAACGGCAAATTATCGGTAATTATGTTTGTAGTTTTTCAATATTTCCCTTTTAGCTAAAGTCTTGAAATTTCTACACCAAATAGCGTTTTTCAATTGCTTCACTAAATGCACTGGCTTCAATTCCCCCCCCCCCCTGAGTTAGCCTTCCAGTTTATTTATAGTTCAATGGCATGCACCATACCTACCATTACTCTAGAAATGTAATTATTCTAGAATTACTGAAAAAAAAATGTTATCGATTTTTGGAGTTTCACTTGTTTTGTATTTTGCTTGTTATACTTTGAAAATTCCAGACCTAGCCTGGAATGTGGGTAAGGTAACCATCAATAGAGATGTAACATAAATAAACTGTAAGTGTAAATATTTTGTTATAAAATTGTTTTTGACTGTAAATTTACAACTTGACAGCTATTTCATTTTCAATGCTTTGCAGAAATCTTCTAATGAAACTGGATAGGCATCCTAAAACAATCGATACTATTGATTAGCAATATTACAGGTTTTATCACAAATGTGAGTGGAATGTTCAGGGCTGCTGAGAGGGGCGGGGCGCAAATTGCCCCAGGCCCCCACCTTAATAGGGCCCCAACTTGAGAGCAAGAGCCTGCAATTGAGTAGGTTTTTTAAATTGGTCAGAGAATTTTTGAAATTGAGGGCCCCTTACAGTACCTCCACATGCAGTCTAGCTAAGGTATAGCTTAAAAATAATGATGTCATGGGGCCCTGGTAATGTTTATACACACTGTCCAGTATCATATAAAGTATACAATTAAATCTGTGATGAAGGTAAAAAATGTACAGTATGTTTGAATAAATATATACCCTTCTCTTATTTCTCCTTTGATATTTCCTGGGCAAATACTTCTAAGGCTATGACAACACAGAAGGAGGAAATGCGTATTCTGCATCCTTCGGACCGATATTTTTACTCTGAAAAGTTTAACCAAATTCTAGTATGAATTGACTTTGGTATTTACTCTGTCTAACGCCAGACAATTTTGGCAATGCACCCTACTTTAGTATTTACTCTGTCTGGCCAATAAATGCATGGTTTAATATTGTGTCTATAAATACAACATGAACAGGCATGAAATGGTATATCATGCCTAAGTTCTGTCAAAGGACAATTGTTTTATTATTATAATTTAAATGCAAATCCATCTACTTTAGCTTTTAATTAAACAGTTTGAGAGAATAAAGACTTACTGTAATGTGAATAATCAGCTATCTTTAGTTAGAATCTTTCACAAAGTACAAATTCAAAGCTGAACTTACCATCAGTGCTTGGGCCCATCCACAATAATGAAAATATTGAATCATTCTTGGAGGTTTCCCCCTCTTTTTAAGTCTGTCCTCGATGCTTGCTTCTAAACTTTTGCAGATGTTTGTTCCATCACATCTATTTTGTGTATGATATTATGTTACGTATGCACATGAAAACAATATAGTATTATATAATAGTATTCATATAGTATTACGTTCTTTGGTATAAAAAAAGTGTGAAAGCGAATACGTACCGGAGGTCTTTCATTTCTGACAGCAATTTCTCCTTAAAATTGACTTTGCATTCGGTTTGCTCAGTAAACAACTTTTTCGTTTCCCTCTTTGCAGGTTTCTCGGCAGTACTAGAATCCACATTGTTGGTTTTAAGCGGATTATGTTGCCTTTATGTTGCCTTTTTCGTTGCCCGACATATTTTCAAGTTTTGTTTCAATGATTTCACCATCGCTTGCCCGAAGGTTCTCTGTTTCTAAAAACAAAAAAGGCCAGTGTGTTAATTGTGTGCGTATACATCTTGGATGGGCCGTACGCAGGATTTTTTCACCAGGGCCAGGGCAGCAGTAAGTCCTACATATGCCGAAAAAAGTCCCAAATATCCAAAGAATAATTACTGAATAATGAGATGGGGGGGGGGGCAGTTGCCTTAATTCTTAACTAATTACCTTCCTTGTCGATTTGTGGTACCCCACAGTACTTGTGGATAAAATCGCGGAGACCAGTTGGTACGTTTCCTTCCCTGGCGACCTCACAATGTTTATTAATACAAAACGCTGAATTCTGCGAAGCCGGTTCCTTTGTACACACATTTGGATAGTTTAACGCAGAAAAAATCTCCGCCTCCACAGGATACATACAATGAGGAAATCTGAGTTTCCAAACTCCGTCCATCGATACAAAGATCTCACAGCCTATATTAATATTTAAAACATGAGAAAGCACTATTTAATTATTGTCAGTTATATCATAAGAAAAACAGCAATAATATTCATTAAATGTCATTAATATTTAAAACATGAGAAAGCACTATTTAATTATTGTCAGTTATCATAAGAAAAACAGCAATAATAATGTCATGATAAGAACAATAATAATAATAACAGTAAATATAATAATATAGCATGATAATATTCTTGATAATAATACTATAAATAATAATAGTACTATATAAAAAATATTATGATCATTATATATTATTATTATATATTATTATAATAATATAATATATAATGTCATATTTTTTATTTTTGTAATATAATACAGCTGATGACAACGAGAATAACTGATAATATGAAAGTAAAAAATTGCAATATTTGAAAGTGCCTTTGACACCAATCATATTATTTTTACAATCTTGTTAGCTTTTATTTTTCTGCCTATATTTAGCTAGGTAGTTAAGGCTTAGCCTTAGCCGGATAATTTGTCATGTATACAGCTGTTTCAAAAATGGTTATCCTTAAAAAATCTCAAACCTTAAACTCTAAGTGCGCAAGATGTGATGGGTAACTTCTTACTTAAGACCTAAAACGTGCGACTTTTGCATTAACTATGCAGGACCGTACACAATCTTTGGGTATTTGGGACTTTTTCGGCATACAGGCCTTACTGCCCCCATGGTGAAAAAATCCTGCGTACTGCCCTGTAACTATGGCTGTATGGCAAGACAGATAATAAGCACTTAAGATGTACGAGTAGGATTATTAAAAGCCCTAAAAAGAAGTTACCTGCATCATTGTTTGACCGCCTAGACTAGAGTATATTTTAACTGCATTTAAGCAAAACAATCGTGTCGTAGTTATAGACATTGTAATACAGATGAATGTGTCACCTCTTTTCCTGCATAATTCAGAGCAATCTTCTTCCTTGTGTATATACAATTCAGATGAACGTAATTTCTCTATTTTATCCATCAGAATGTCAATTGCATCTTCTTTTACTCCCTTAAAACTCCACTTGATGGGGACAAGTGCGAATTGCCGACGGAAACTGTTGTCCAAAACTGCACCAATTTGTACCGTCAATCTGCATGTGGTGAGGTACCTTTTGCACCCAGACAGGCAACGGTGAGTGTGCATAAAATGACTGCTTGTAGCAATAGGGGGCTATAGCCCCAGCAATAGGGGGGCTATAGCCATATTTGTGCCTGGTAAGAATTGATTAAACAGGGTCAGAATGCACCACCTGTCCCACTATTTGATGAGTTGTGCCCCCCCCCCCACACACACACACATCCCACATGTACCAGTCTATATGCTTGTGTTACAGTGTTTTTTCAGTATTGTTACTATTGTTTTAGATTGCTCGATCGAATTGTACTGATCCACGTGCCTAACCGAAGTACAACGACACATGATGTAAGTCATCCAAATTTGTGGAACCAGCGTTTCTCCAGAATTATCGCACATGTTTCGAGTGCTGTGGGAAATATAATACAAATTGGCCAGTGGTTGCATACAAGTGATGGGAGAACCCTACTGGGCGACTGTCTACGCATAACAAAGGAAGTCTTTGGATATTCGGCCAGGCGCAGAAGGTTGGCTGAATGCTGGAGTTGCATTTTGTTTGCAGCAAGGAAGGTAGATGTGAATTTTATTACTGTAGGATGGAACATGTTCCTATGTGCATGCACACGCACTATTTTCACATATATATATAACATATATATGCGTATATTTTCCCGATATGATTTGGCCATACACACAAGTGCATGTACGCATGTGTTGATGTATGCTTATATTCCTTGTTTACAATCACGTGACTTTTCATCCAAATGACGGACAATCAAACAACTTGTGGACGATTTTTTCCCTATCAGAATGGTTGTAGCAAGAAAAAGTGAGCGGTAATTCATCTTTTGAGTCTTAAACTGTCTCTAAACTTGATCAATACATTAAAATAGCTGTTTTTTGTTATACCTGCCAGTAAACTGAAATACCAAAATTATGTCACTGCAAACAAAGAATACATCCCTGTATTGTGTACACTTGTATATGATACTGTTTGTCCATGTATATCGCTATTATCAACGTACAATTTGTATTTAAGATGGGCGAGTTGACAACTGCAGTGGAAGATGACAAAATACTTTCACATTTCAATGAAGTGTTGGCGCCGTATGTTTTAGAAAACCAGGTGTTTAACAAAAATCCATCTTTGGGTACACCTTCATCTTCTCAAGACCGCTACATTGTGGCAAAAGTTGAAGAGTCACTCCCAAAAGTCATAGAAGGGATGAGTGAGGATGAAGTAAGGGTCATTACGTCATTACATACCTACAATTTATTGATAACATGCAGCAGCTAGTTTATTGTAGCTATAGACACACTGATACAAGTGTTTTACCGGGATCAGAAAATGAGATATTTTTCGGTTATGTTGCGAAGCAAAGTGTTGTGTGTATATAATAAAAAAATTACACGGTGGCTTGAATATATGAACTTTTATCTTCGAGTGGTGAAAACAATACCAATGACCATAGTGCTCGATCAATCATTCATAAAGGATTGCCCTCACTCGAAGATAAAATTTATATATTCAAGTGTATAATATCCTCTCTAGAATTTACACTTGAAGACTTCATCATCTAATTTCAGAACACCGAAAATGAGTCGTAAAATGAGGCAAATACATGCAAACTGACATATGCTTCAATAATAGTTTTTCCTTTTTCCCATATCTTAAAGGTTAAACAATTTCTACACACGGACAGGCAGGCAAATATTGAAAATCGAAATGAGCGTGTTGTTGCCATTCGTCTCGGGAAACTGAGCGAGTGCATGGAAAAAAGAGGTATCCAAAAAACTTGGAATGAGAAAGAGGTCCGTGATAGTGTGGAGAATTTAAAATTAGGTAATGTATTTCATCATAATGAGTGTGCGCCATGCAATTGCTAGCTGTGATTATATAAGATGTTTAAAAATAAATAATTATTATTATCATTTACTTATTCATTTTAATATGTTTGCTGCAAATAACTGGTGCAAATAATGATCTGAGCACTTTTGAAATCAATTCTCATTTCCCCCAAAAAAATTATGCATGCACATTTAAGATTTTTGAAAAGCAGTTCAAATAAACACAAAAATAATAACAAAAGGCGTGTTAAATGTTCAGATATTGTTGTTTAATATTGTATAGATTTGTTGAACTTCGTGTGACCACAAAATTTCGAATTTATTGAAATCGCAAAATATTGTGATTTGTCAGTGGCTCGCAGATCAATTACTTGCCTCTGCATGCATGCCTTCGCCGGCATCGGCAAATAATTGATCTGCTCATCACTGAAAAATTACGATATTTTGCTCAACCTCGTCCAATAATTGTATATTATTTTACTAATATAACTTCTGTTTAATCATGATTTTCCAAATATATAGGAAAACGAGCTGGTGAGCAAAAATTCTATTCGCCCAAGAAGAAAAACCTTAAAGTTAAGGGATGTGTTTTGATACGGCACACTCTATTCCAGAAGGACGTTCTTGATGTACTTGACAAAGGTAGTATAAAATACAAAACAAGTGTAACTCCAAAGATCGAAAACATTTTTATAGTTTATCTACGTTTCGACTATATTTCAGTCATCATCAGGATAAACCTACCACATTATGGCGGCATACTGTGTGCAGTCTGTAACTAAACTGACAACATGGGCAAAATATTATATATTTACTTTAATAATAGGCTTAACATATTTGTTAAATATGTTTATTTAGCTTCCAATGTAGAAATACAGCAACAGGACAGAGGTCTGATTTGGACTCGGTTTCTGTGCCAGCCACCAAAGCAAGTAAAGGTATAAAGTCCATAGTGACAGCACTATATAGAATGTATTTCTATCTTATTTTCAGTATGTGTATACAGCATGAGTGGCCTGTTAAATCGAATATACAAACTCGCAAGCCGAAGGTGAAAGGTAGCATCTCTGATACAACACACAGACGCAAAAGAACATTCGTATTCTTAAACAATTTAAAATAAATGAATAATATTTACTAATTTTGTGTGAAAATTGAACTTAACGTTCACATAAATCAGCATGATTCTGTATCAGAGTGTGCATGCAAACTCCTTCATGCACGCTCGTGATTTATTTTGTGTTTTCTGCATGAATTATTAATGCATTGTACTACAGGCTATACCCAACTGCAATATCCCTTAGTTTGTGTACGTATCGTCAATATTCAATAATTTAATAATATTTTAAGTTTAGATATAGGTAATGAGAACCATATTGGTGTCCTAGTAATAAATTTATGCCACAACAGTCCCTAAATGTTAGATAAAAATGTAGTGTGAAATATGATAGTGAAGGCCTCGTGTTGTTGGCACAATGCGTGCTTATGAAAAAAATTTTTTATATGATAAGCCTGAGAATAAAAAATAAAAAACATTTGTATATGTATAAATGTGAACCTAAGAATTGTAAGTGTAGGTGTAGATTTTTGGAACAAAAAATGGAGATGTGTGTGTGAAATTGTAACGGTAAAATATCCTGTGGTGTAAAAAATTTTTTAAATCATACTCACGGAGTATGATCTCGCTGTACTAAAAAGCTTGTATGGAGGCATGTAAAATATATAAGGCGAGAGCAGAAAATCATGTGTGTAAAATTCAGTATCCCTGTACACGGTGTTTCGTCCTTCATGGACTCGTCAGCAGGGATTGGGGTTGGCAATTGTGTGAGAAAGACAGAATATAGAAGCCGATTTGGAATAAGGAAAAAAGACATAAAAAGTAGCAATATGTGTATATGACTATTATATAACGTAAAATGTAAATTGTCTTACCAAAATCGTTGTTGAGTAAAATATATATATATATATATATATATATATATATATATATATATATATATATATATATATATATATATATATATATATATATATATATATAT